ACTATTTTTAACTGCATGTTTCATGCATTGTGAAAGAATATTTGTTTTGATTTTAAGTAACGTCTGAGAGTTTTAATTTGAAATTGTGTTTAAAAAAGATAAAAAAAATTAACTCGAATTTTGAAAATCTAGCTTTTGCTCTTAAAAATAAACGGGCTGTTACAATATATGAGTATGTGATAACATCATAGACAATTAAAAATAACACCATGTTTGATTTCAAAGTTAATTACCCTCGGACTTATTTTTGTTACAATCCTAGTACGCATTACACCACTTTACAGCGTCTCGCCGACTTTTTTGTATTTGTACATTTGAGTTAAGACTTGAATCGAGCTTCTAACTGAGCTGGCTTAATATATCTGATATGATGCACGGACGTAAATTCATTTAAATAACATATACATCTATTTTCTTCCAATTACACATGGATAAATCATGTTTAATGAGAAATAATTAATTTTATAGAAAGAACAATGAAACTATGTTCTTTCATACTTAATTGACCTCCAAATACATATATTTTATAGTTAGATGTTTTCTATGTTACCTTTTTAATTGGTCGAGCTCATTCTTTCATAATTACCTTACGACGTTTATTTGTTAATATAATAATGTCCGAAGATTCACAAATAGGAATAATATCCACTTGTATGGTTGGCGTGATGGCCTAAAGCAAAATTATGAGAGTAATTTTTAGTCTATGCGAACAAGAATTTAGAACAAATTATTAGGTTGACCTGTAAGTACTTTCATCATTTACAATTTCGGAGCTAATCAAAAGTTTGTCTTGTATTCATATTTCTTCACGTGAATTATTAGCCTATACTTTATCAAAATAATGACCTTAATCTAGGAATCATTTTAGAGCTAATGATTTTATTCAAAGACTAATCTGGATCTGTTTTAGAAGGGCTCGAAAACAAAGAATTGTAACTTTGTATTTGTGGCTAAAAAATTTTAGGTTTTTTTTATTTTTATTTTTATTTTTTTTCCGTGAAAAGATACAAAGTGTACATTATCAATAGAAAATATTATTCATTGGATTATTTTCACATAGAAAAATTCGTTTCTTACGTTTTTGCACATCAAAATCGAACAATATTCATCATTTTCAAACTCCAAGATTTCCTACAAAAATAGCAAGAATCAGTTATAATCCACAATTAAGCTCAAACAAACAATTAAAGAGTATGGAAACATAATAAATTTGTTTTGCCCTTTTCCTTTTAACCTTAAAACAAGAAAACTAAATAATAACAAAATCAACTATTCCCTCAACTACTAAATGGGGGCCTTCATATGGCCAGTGTGTAGCATTATTGACTCTTGTGAGGGTCTTAAAAGTCATAGACAATCCAGTACCTAAACTGTACAATAATATCATGTATTCAAACATGGATACTATAAAAGATAATATTATATATGTACATGATAGCATCATAGACAATTAAAAATAGCACCATGTTTGATTCTCATGGTTAATTACACTAGGACTTATTTTTGTTACAATCCTAGTACGCCTTACACCCCTTTCCAGCGTCGCGCTGACTTTTTTGTATTTGTACATTTGTGCTAAGACATGAATTGAACTTCTAACCGAGCTGGCTTAATATATTTGTACATTTGAGCTAAGACATGAATCGCACGTCTAACCGAGCTGGCTTAATATATATGATATGATACATGGATGTAAATTCATTTAATTAACATATACATCTATTTTCTTCCAATTACACATGGATAATTCATGATTAATGAGAAATAATTTATAGAAGTAACAATGAAACTATGTTCTTTCATACTTACTTGACCTCCAAATACACATATATTATAGTTAGATGTTTTCTATGTTACCTCTTTAATCGGTTGAGCTCATTCTTCATAATTCCCTTACAACGTTTATTTGTTAATATAATAATGTCCTAAGATTCACAAATAGGAATAATATCCATTTGTGTGGTTGCGCGTGATGGCCTAAAGAAAAATTATGAGAGTAAGTTTAGTCTACGCGAACAAGAATTTCGAAAAAATTATTAGGTTGACATGTAATTACTTTCGTCATTTACAATTTCGGAGCTAATCAAAAGTGTGTCTTGTGTTCATATTTCTTCACGTGAATAATTAGCCTATATTTTATCAAAATAATGACCTTAATTAGGAATCTTTTAGAGCTAATGATTTTATTTAAAGACTAATCTGGATCTGGTTTAGAAAGGCTCGTAAACAAAGAATTGTAACTTCGTGTTTGTGGCTAAAAAATTTTAGGTTTTTTATTTTTATTTTTTTTTTATTTTTATTTTTTTGTAATAAGATACAAAGTATAAATTATCAATAGAAAAATACTATTCATTCGATTATTTTCACATAGAAAAATTTGTTTTTTACTTTTTTGCACATCAAAATAACATAATATTCATCATTTTCAAACTCCAAGATTTCCTACAAAAATAACAAGAATCAGTTATAATCCACAATTAAGCTCAAACAAACAATTAAAAAGTATGAAAACATGACAACTAATGTGTAAAAAATACTACTTATCAAGAAATGATGTTATCTTTTCCTTAAAAATTAAATAAACATGTTACATGAGTGGAATAAATAAAATAAGAAGAATAAGAGGGGAAAAGTCACTTATTAGTGAGATAAAAATTTAACTTTTTCTCCAACGTAAAAAGTAAAATTTCATTGGTATCAAATGACAATAAACTTACAATATTAATTACATTCTTTCTAACATATGCATTTAAATTACTTTGAAAAAATTCTCATGTTCACACACCCATAATTGTCTATAAATAGCATACCTTATCATTAGCTCCTTACTCCATTAGCTAGTCTTCAATCCTTCAAATCCCCAAAAGCAAAGCACCATAATATCAAATCCCCACCACAAGCAATGGCACCAACAACAATTATGATCATTGTTCTTTCCCTAGCCATCTCAACTCAATCAATTCTTAGTAAGTCATGAATCACATGTCTTTTTTGTTACTGCAACACTTGTATATAACACGAAATTCATCGATATATAAAGAAATGTTCGTAATAGTTATGCATAAATATTTAAAATGTAACCGGTATCATATTCGAAGTATAAATTCAAAATGTAACCGGTATCATATAATACGACTATTGTGTAGGTATGGACATCCGTTGTGAGGACCTCGATAAGGAATCATGCGCGTTCTCTGTGTCGTCATCCGGCAAGCGATGTGTGCTTGAGAGTCGCCTGCGCATGAGCGAGACGACAGTTTACACATGTGCGACCTCCGAGATCGTGGCCGACAAGATTAGAAACTTGGTCGAGACCGACGAGTGCATCAGGTCGTGTGGGGTCGACAGACAAGCACTCGGCATATCGTCCGACTCGCTCCTTGACCGCAGGTTTGCCCAGAGCCTATGCTCGAGAGCATGCTATAACTACTGCCCTAACATCGTCGATCTCTACTTCAACCTTGCAGCCGGAGAAGGTATCCAACCCTTATTCAATAAATTTAAGTTAAAAATCTTAATTTAAAATGAAAAATAACTAAAAAAAATCAAGCTAGAGTTAATTTGAATTACAATTACGAGTTTACGTATTTAACACTTTATATTTATTTTTCATTAATTTTCCACTAAAATTGATGATGGCTAGGGGTTTTCCTCCCGATGTTCTGCAAGATGCGTCAATCAGGCACACGCCGTGGGATGGCCGAATCCATTGGGCTTAAAAGCTCTGGGAATGTGCCCCGAAAGCAAGCACTTGGGCCACAATCAGCAACATCTATTGACGAGGAGGCTTTTGGCCCAGAGTCGGCATCTCTAAACGAGGAGGCTTTTGGCCCAGAGTCGGCATCTCTAAACGAGGAGGCTTTTGGCCCAGAGTCGGCATCTCTAAACGAGGAGGCTTTTGCTCCAGAATCAAATTCTCTATACTAAGCCGATGATGGGGAAATCAGCTCCCCGAGCCCAAACTCAAGCCCAATACCATTAAAATAATATCATAAATAAATAAAATCACCTGTGGTGGATTCGGCCCGATAAAGGCCTTGTATTATACAACTAGGAAACTTGGTAAATTGAAATAAGGATATTAATCCATGTACTTATTGTTATGTTGTTTTTTTTTCATCCATACTATTGGAATGAATAAAATACTAATGTCCTAATTGTCGGCTCATACATATTTTGACACAAATTCTTGTATGAATTGGCTTCATCGTTGTGGGTTGACCCGTCGTGTCTTTTGTATGAAAATGCATATTTATGTTATTATATGTTATGGTTTTATTAATATTTTCTGTAGCATGTAATTTGAGGTTAAAACCATGCATAATAATCGGAAAAATAAAATTGAGTAATTATAATTATGCATTACAACAACCTTACCAAATTTCAAAAATATTTGTTTCTTGGTACTGACTTGCAGATACGCGTAGGCCAAAGAGAACAAAAAATAATATCACATATTTAAACACTCAATAGTCCAAAAAATAAAAAAAAAAATTCTCAAAACCATAATAATTCCAACACCTATAAGAAATGAAAAAATAAAATTAAATAAAATGATCTCTAATCAATTCTTAAGGGTAACCTAATGATAAAAACTGGTATGTAAAGTAAAACTAAAAGATATGTAGTATCCATCAAATGAACTCAATATCAACGCACGACAAAGGAAAGCCAGACACTTCTTCAAATGTAAACCATTCCATAGACAATTAAAAATAACACCATATTTGATTCTCACAGTTAATTACACTAGGACTTATTTTTGTTACAATTCTAGTACGCCTCACACCCCTTTCCAGCGTCGCGCCGACCTTTTTGTATTTGTACATTTGAGCTAAGACATGAATCAAACGTCTAACCGAGCTGGCTTAATATATATGATATGATACATGGATGTAAATTCATTTAATCAACATATATATCTATTTTCTTCCAATTACACATGGATAAATCATGATTAATGAGAAATAAATAAAATTCTCATGTTCACACACCCATAATGGCACAAATAAATAAAATCACTTGGGGTGGATTCGGCCCGATAAAGGCCTTGTATTGTACAACTAGGAAACTTGGCAGACTGAAATAAGGATATTAATCCATGTACTTATTGTTAGTTGTTTTTATTTTTCATCCATACTATTGGAATGAATAAAATACTAATGTCCTAATTGTCGGCTCATACATATTTCGACACAAGTTCTTGTATGAATTGGCTTAATCATTGTGGGTTGAGCCGTCGTGTCTTTTTTATGAAAATGCACATTTATGTTATTATATGTTATGGTTTTATTAATATTTTTCTGTAGCATGTAATTTGAGGTTAAAACCATGCATAATTATCGGAAAAATATAATTGATTAATTATAACTATGCATTACAACAGCCTTACCAAATCTCAAAAATATTTGTTTCTTGTTACTGACTTGCAGATACGCGTAGGCCAAAGAGAACAAAAATAATATCACATATTTAAACGCTCAATAGTCCAAAAAAATAAAGAAATTATCTCTAAACCATAGTAATCCCAACACCTACAAGAAATGAAAAATTAAAATTAAATAAAATGATCTCCAATCAATTCTTAAGGGTAACCAAATAATTAAAACTGATATGTAAAATAAAACTAAAAGATATGTAGTATCCCTCAAATGAACTCAATATCAACGCACGACAAAGGTGAACCATACACTTGTTCAAATGCAAACCATTTACAAGTCTGAGTCAACATGGAAAACACTTCTTTTATTTTGAATTACTACATCAATACTGAGTTTGAAATTGTACCACCATTCTATAACTTTAGACTTTTCCGGTCAATCTCATTTTCATTTTTATTCTAAATAGAAACAAATTTGTTTTGCCCTTTTCCTTTTTACCTGAAAACAAGAAAACTAAGTAATAACAAAACCAACTATTCCCTCAACAACTAAATGGGGCCTTCATATAGCCAGTGTGTAGCATTATTGACTCTTCTGAGGGTCTTAAAAGTCATAGACAATCCAGTACCCAAACTGTAAAATAATATCATGTATTCAAACATGGATACTATAAAAGATAACATTATATGTGTATAGGATATCATAATAGACAATTAAAAATAGCACCATGTTTGATTCTCACGGTTAATTATACTAGGACTTATTTTTGTTACAATCCTAGTACGCCTTACACCCCTTTCCAGCGTCGCGCTGACTTTTTTGTATTTGTACATTTGTGCTAAGACATGAATTGAACTTCTAACCGAGCTGGCTTAATATATATGATATAATACATGGACGTAAATTCATTTAAATAACATATACATCTATTTTCTTCCAATTACACATGGATAAATCATGTTTAATGATAAATAACAATGAAACTATGTTCTTTCATACTTAATTGACCTCCAAATACGCATATATTATAGTTAGATGTTTTCTATGTTACCTCTTTAATCGGTTGAGCTCATTCTTTCACAATTCCCTTACAACGTTTATTTGTTAATATAATAATGTCCTAAGATTCACAAATAGGAGTAATATCCACTTGTGCGGTTGCGCGTGATGGCCTAAAACAAAATTATGAGAGTAATTTTAGTCTAAGCGAACAAGAATTTCAAACAAATTATTAGGTTGACTTGTAGTTACTTTCGTCATTTACAATTTCGGAGCTAATCAAAAGTTTGTCTTGTATTCATATTTCTCACGTGAATCATTGGCCTATATTTTATCAAAAAATGACCTTAATTAGGAATCATTTTAGAGCTAATGATTTATTCAAAGACTAATTTGAATCTGTTTTAGAAGGGCTCGAAAACACAAAATTGTAACTTTATGTTTGTGGCTAAAAAATTTTAGGTTTTTTTTTCTGTAACTTTGATACAAAGTGTACATTATCAACAGAAAAAAATTATTCATTCGATTATTTTCACATAGAAAATTCGTTTCTTACGTTTTTGCACATCAAAATCACATAATATTCATTATTTTTAAACTGCAAGATTTCCTACAAAAATAACAAGAATCAGTTATAATCCACAATTAAGCTCAAACAAACAATTAAAAAGTATGGACACATGACAACTAATATGTAAAAAATACGATCTATCAAGAAATGATTTTATTTTTTCTTGAAGAAATAAATAACATGAGTGGAATAAACAAAATGAGAAGAATAAAAAGGGGAAAAAGTCACTTATTAGTGGGATAAAAATTTAATTTTTTCTCCAACGTAAAAAGTAAAATTTCTTTGGTATCAAATTAATGACAATCCTAAGTTTGAAACTTATAATATTAATTACATTCTTTCTCACGCATGCTTTTTAATTACTTTGAAAAAACTATCATGTTCACACACCCATAATTGGGCAAAAATCCAATTTTAGTCCGCTAACTTGTCCATTGTTCACTTTTGGTACACTATCTTTCCTCTCATAAAAAAGAGTTCATTATGTTACACTTTTTATCAGTTTTAGTACACTAATCCCGTGGCCCGGGATTAAGAGATGCCAAATCAGATTTTTATCCTACCACGTCAATATCTTATACCTCCATGTAGTTCCAATCCCGGTCCACGTCATCTTGTAATCCCGCCAACAGGAGTAGTGTACTAAAACTGATGAAAAATGTAACATAATGGACCATTTTTTATGAGGGAAAAGATAGTGTAACAAAAGTGGACAATGGACAAATTAGCGGACCAAAATTGGATTTTTGCCCCCATAATTGTCGGTAAATAGCATACCTTACCATTGGCTCCTTACTCCATTAGCTAGTCTTCAATCCTGCTATCCTTAAAAATAAATCGAGCGAAAGTTAATTTGAATTACAATTTCGAATCTCCCAATTTAACTATTTATTTATATTTCAATTTCTTTTATTTTCTACTAAAATTGATGATGGCTAGTGGTTTTTCCCTCGATGTCCTGCGAGATGCATTAACCTGCGCTCGCCATGGGATGATTGAGTCCATTGGGCTTAAAAGCTCTAGAAATGTGGCCTAAAAGCACACATTTGGGCCACAATCAGCAACATCTACTGACGAGGAGGAGGCTTTTGACCTAGAGTCGGTATCTCTTAACGAGGAGGCTCTTGCTCCAGATTCTGATTCTCTGTGATGATGAAGAAATCTACTCCTGGAACCCAAACTCAAGACCAATACCATTAATTTAAGGGCACAAATTAATAAAATCACCAGGGTCGATTCGGCCCGAAAAGGACTTGTGAGATATAAACTATGCAGACTGAAAATAAATAAAGATATTAATCCATTTTACTTACTATTATGTTGTTTTTATTTTTCATCCATACTATTGGAATGAATAAAATACTATTGTCCTAATTGCCGGCTCACATATATTTTGACTCTTAATCGTTTTTGATTGATCCGTCGTGCATTTTTTATGAAAATGCATATTTATATTGTTATATGTTATGCTTTTATTTACAATGTTTTTCTAGTATGTAATTGAATAATTATAAACTTGTCTGGCAACCCTTACCTGATGTGAAAAGATTTGTTTCTTGGTCTTCACTTACGGATACGCAAAGGACAAAGATAACAGAAAAATCAAGAAATTTTCTCCAAACAATAGAAATCCCAACTTATTAGAACCGGGGGAAGAGGCTGCAGTCCCACCAAGTGAAGCGCACCATAAGAGGGTGAGCCTAGGTGCACCTTAGTGAGGTTCCATCTTAAAACTAATTGGTGATGAGAAGAGTAGCCCACTAGGCTTATAAATAGGCTCATTTACCCTATAGAATCAATGTTGGACAACCACAAGTGATATTCCAACATAACACCTATCAAAAATGAAGATAATGGTCTCCAATCAACTCTTAATGGCCTGATTGGTATGCGGGAATGACGTGGGAATAGAAGGATCATTCTCATACTCATTCCTAATCCCATGATTGGTATATTTTTTAGAAAGGAATGATCATTCCAATGGGAATCGCAAAACTCATGTATATGGGATTAGCCATTCCATAATTAATGGATGGTTTTCTCATTCTCATATGTTTAGGAATCAATTTTTTAATAAATAAAATTAACAAATAATAATAACGAATAAATATATAATATATATTATATTATCATGATTAAATTATATTAAATTCATTTTAAAAAATAAAATTCAAATAAAAAATTAAAATATTATTTTTATTTATTAGTCATATGTTAAGTAATTAGATATATTAATTACTTATATAAAAATAAAACTCACAAAAATGCATTTATAAATAATTTAGAAAAATCTAATGTATTTTATATAATCATATATATTATATATTTATTCACAAATTGAATTATATTATAAAAAAGTATATTTGACTACATATTCTTATAGGGGTTTATATAATGATATAGTTGTATTAGTTAATATGTATAAAAATACATAATTCATTTATTTATTATATAAGATGGGTGTAACAATACAAAAGTATGTTTATTAAAATATAGTATATTTTTAAAATATAAAATAACATTAGTATTATCATAAATAAGAAAATAACATTAATATAAATATAATTTCTTTTACTATAAAATAGTGATAAAAGATAAGAGAGGATGATAATGTCATTTTATTCCGGTTTTATTTATTCTGCGTACCAAACGCATTAATGACAATTTGTTTCATTCGATTCTCATAATCATTCAATTCTTCGACTCATTCCATTCCTATCAAATTTCATTCCATTAAACCAATCATATCATAAGTGTAACTAAATATTAAAAACATGTATGTACAGTAAAATCGAAAGTTATGCAGTATCCCTCAAATAAATTCAATATCAACCCACAACAAACAATTCTTCAAATGTAAAGCACAACAAACAATTTTTCAAATGTAAATCATTCCAAGTCTGAGTGAACATGGAAAACACTTCCTTTATTTAGCATTACTGCGTAAATCCTGAATTTGAAATGGTACCATCATTTTATTACTTTGAATTTTCTGGTCAATATCTTTTTTTTTTTCTTCCAAATTGAAACAAATTCGTTTTTTTCCTTTTCCTTTTTCACCTTAAAATAAGAAAAGAAAAAAAATAACCAAATTAATCTTCCATCAACTACCGAATGGGAGCCTTAATATAGCCCAAGTGTGTAGCATTATTGACTCTTGTGAGGGTCTTCAAGTCATAGACAATCCAGCACCTGAACTCGGCCTGATTGTAGAAAAATCCCAAACACTTGCAGTCCGAGGTGCACTTTCTGGAGCACTCCTCCTCCTTAATGGGCCCAGTCCCCCTAGTATACTTGCTCAAGAAATGGTCAACACCTTCCAATTTAAAGTACCCAACACTATTTGCTTTGCAAGATATGGGCTTAGGAGGCGCACAGCTCTTGCTCCAGCCCAATAGCCCATTAGGAGATGGGCAGCCCACACACTGGCTGTCCTCACAAATCCCAAACTCCCCACACCTCTCCGGCAGCTGGCATTCTTCGCCGGAGTCCCTTGGGAAAAGGGTGAATGTCTCTTCCCATGCACCATAATCCACCAACGTGTAAAATGTGTAGGCTCTTAGACCCCCGTCGAGACCTAAACGAAGATACGTTAACGTGCTATTGTATTTAGGCCTCGACAGAATCCGAGTTCCTCCGTTCATATTCTCCACCAATTTCAATTCGTAAGCAAAAGCATCATCCGTCTCTGGCTCGCTCGTAAACGTTAGATTATCGAGAGTCCGTCTCCCGGACATGAGATAATCGGTCGAGTCGAAATATAACATGGGCTTAGGAGAATTCTTACTAGTGTAGTACATCGCGAACCTACGAGCCTCCAAGACGAGGCTATATGGGCCATTCTTGTTCTCCTTTTCGGAAAGCCGGCTCACGAGCTTATTTGGGCCGTTTAGACGAAGATATTGGCCCACCAACAGCGTATCTGTCGGGTAATCGAAGCTCTGCCACACGAAATTTCCCTTGGAGTCGTATAGGACCATGTTGCCATTAGGCAACAACCTAAAGCCGATCACGCCCTTGTTAGTCGTGTTAGACTGCCATGCAACACGTCCATCGGCTTCGGCAAGGACAAGGTTGCCGCCAGAGCCGAGCGAGAAAGTCGCGTTTTCTCCCACTGGATTCCCGCGATTCGCCTCCCAAACCCAACGCATCAGAGATTCAGAGCGGACGGTACCCATACGCAATGCCAGAGTATAGGCACCGGGCGTGGTGTTGTAGAAACACAACTGAAACGGGGAGTTGAAGACAGAGAGAACCCTGTAGTTAGCATCGTACTCGACTATGTAGTCTCCGAATTCGCCTTCATTCACATAATTGAAAGTTTGTGAGGGAGGCACCACACCTTGAACAATAAAGGGTAGGGCATGGATTAGGATAAAGAGGAATGGAATAGTAGAGAAGCTAGTTGGAGATGACATTGTGTTAATGTGTGTTTTTGGTGTTTTGGGTGGGGGAAGTCTATATTTATTTATAGATGAACTATGTTGAGTAAGTATGTGAGTTGTTGATAATGCTATTTGTCTAGCTTTTGTTGCAATTGGGAAATTTCAAATCAAATGAGTCGTGGTCATATGTGGTGTGCTGCATTAATTATTATTAATAGAATAATTGTGGGACTTGAAAAATAATGTTTCTTTTGCATGTGCGGACATGTTTGGACCATGTTTTTAACTGAGTGCAAGTTCCTTTATCCAATGACAGCCATTTAATTGGATGCCACTACATACACAGCGAATGGTAGCTATAGAGGTTATCCATTAGATTTAAAATAAATGTCAATTTTTCATTTCGTTAATTTTTCAAACTAGTGGTATTTTAAGTTCATTTTAAATTAAATTAAAGATTTAGCAATTAGCGATAAGCAAGCAGAAATTGGTGCCGTGTGAGTGCTTCAGTGTTTATGTGAGTTTATAGATCTAAGTACGCTAGTACATTAATTAATTATCAACATTATCTCTTGAATATACTAATCCTTACAAGTCATGGAGATTAATTTACTATCTGAATCTTCATATAATTAAGCAAAAATAAGTAAAACCATCAATCCTGGTTGATCGGGTTGATGACAGGTTGATTATTAACCGATCCAATTACCCAAACCGGTCCAAATTTGTTATTACATCACAAGTCGACCCGCTTGGCCAGTCGGAGTTAGAAAAATTGCATAAAGAACAAAAATACAAATAGATTTCTTAAACACCACCTAACTCCTACTACTGCAATGCAACCTACTTTTCACTAGCCAAACAAGTCAGCATAAATTTGGTGACCTCGATTGTATTTATTAATTTGGATATCTTATCCCATTGACTTACACCAACAAAATCTGGTTTTAGTGATATGGTTAAAAATCTATATCATGATTCATGACTTAGATCTTGTTTCCAAAATTGATTGAAGGTCCATTTTGACTAATTCATTGGTCAAAGAATGATTAGAAAAANGCCTGGGCTTGGTTGGTGCCTGGTGGTGTCTTGAATTCAGTTTTAAATTCTCAATTTTCTATGGAGCCGCATTGTCCTACTAGGAAGGCCCAAGCCCAATATTGATAAATAATAAACAACAAACGAGCCCAAATTTGACCTCTGGTATTAAATAATTGGGTTCCTAGCTCAGTTGAAAAAAAAAAAGTAAACTACATTAACTAAACAAAAAATACAACAGTAAACTGTTAATTCGGTTGTACGGATAGAATAATGATCATTTGAATATTTTGGCAAACTTTCGAGTTGTATATAAAACCAAAATTGATGATGGACAGTGGACACTATCACACTAATAAGCCATTGTGCAACTTGGCTTTGTTTATTTTAAATGACATTATAATGTGCTAATTTGATTTTTTAGGCAAAAGTTAGCAAAACTGATTGATGGTACGGAGATGTTTTGTCATTTGAGATAATGATAATATAAATTTTTTATTTTCTTTTTGTTTTTCTCTTTTAGTTCCTTTTAAAGCATCAAAATAAGTGCCACTTTTTTTATTTTTTTTTTTAATTTTTTGTATCAATCTTATAATTGGTTGTGATACGAGTAGACGTGCAAAGTCCTATAGGTTTAATTATTTTCGTATAAATTGAAGAAGTTGAAAATTGCATATATTGCATTCAATTAAAGAAAAAAAATAAATAAATAAATTGACCATTATATGGATGGATTAAAGAAAAGGATTTGTGAGGAAAGTCGGGTTGATAGTTTACACAGAAGGACAAGGTTCAAATAAGGTAAGAGAATCCTGATAGGAAAAGAAACATGACTCAGTATCTTATACGGGATCAAGAATCGTTTGTGGTTAGGAAACATTATATACCCGAATCCTTCCATAACAAGGTTGCTTGAAAAGAAAGGTTAAGGTATTATATATAAGCGACGTTTCATGTTTGTAGATAATTAAGAGCAATATATACTTTCAAATAATATGATTCATGGGACAAAAATTGAGTGTTAGAGGTTTTACTGATAATAAAAATTATAAAATGTAATATGCTCATTATCTAACTTATAATTTGACATAGCATATACATACGCATATGGCATGTAAGATTTTATTTATTTTTGTGCATATATATAAAGGATTCTGTGCATATATATATGCACATAATCAAATACTAGTACTATATAAATGGTTCACGAAAGAATTCAGAGTTCGATCTCTTCCATCAAAAATAATATTGTATATCCTATGTGTGCAGTGTATGTAATATTTAAAATCATAAATTAGAGAACGAGCATATCATATTTATGAATTTTATTAATAAAAATGAACGATATAAATATAAACTATTTAACTTTCATATTAATTTATATTGATTGCAGTAATGCAATTTTGTCTGACCACTTAATTAGATAAAAAAATATTATAACAGTTTTATTATAGCAATTGTGTACAAAATTTTAAGGGTTTTGTTATGCCACAAAATAACTAACTAAATTTAACAGAAAAACTTTTTGAGCTAAACAAAGAAATAATAATTTAAAATCAATAGTTTGAAACAAAAAATTCGAAAAAATATATCATTTAATGTGACTATATAATTAGTTAGTAGTAGTTATTATGCAATAAAATAAACAAAAAAATATAATTTATTAATGCAAAATGTAACGATAAATAGCAAAAAACCAAAATATTATCATAATTTTTTCAAACAGTTATATATACATAAAAACTAAATGTATCATTCTTGACATCATTCATGACAAGGTGAGGGCCGCCAATGAATTAATAAATTTTACATGGCAATTGAATTTCGATAGAGGATTTTGCCTTTGTCCGTACAATGGCCTGGTTATTATTAATAGCAGTACAGCACTGTGTGACTATCATGGTCATATTATTTTCGGCAATTTGCTACCTCAGTTGCTATATTATTTTCTATGATTTGTGATTCTTTAATCTTAATATTGGATTGAGCAATTAGTCATATTTTCAAGTCCCTTTAGGGTAATTTGGTTGGTTTTATTATTATTATTATTATTATTATTATTATTATTATTATTATTATTATTATTATTATTATTATTATCATCAAATGTAGTTGTTTTCAATTGAAATGCTGATTTATTTGTAATTGGAAGAATTTGATCATACAGTGTGGACACTACAATTGATAAATTAAACGAGCCGCTTATGAGCTCAGTTCGAGTTCAGCAACAAAACGAGTCAAGCTCAAGTTCATTTAAAATTCGTTCAGTTAACGAGTCAAGTTCGGCTCTTCTTGGCAAGGCTCAAAAATATAATTTTTATAATTTTTTTAATAATTCAGTTCGTTAAAACTCAATTTTAGTTCATTAAAGCTCGAGCTCAGCTTGATAACATTGATAAACAAGTCGAACTCGAGCTCGATTATAAGTTCGTTAATTTAACGAGCCGAGTTGAGCCGAACCGCCTAATAAGCACTGCCCATATTCGGGTCAGAACCGTCAAATCACACTCTCACCCACACCCACATTTCTGTAGGGTATATCTTAATTGTCGATTCAGACTCCAGTATCAGCTATGTAATTTACCTTATTGGGTGTTACTATTTTTTTTTAGGTTATTCATAAATCTTGTAGCTGAAAATTACTGTATAGTGATATCACTAGTCAAATTGAATAAATTAGTTTTAGGTATGCGTTGGGCCCAATACATCATACGAGTATTTTGGGCCTACAAAAATTTAACCCACTGGTCAAAGAATTTTATAAATTTTGCCAGTTTTAAATTAACCTCATTTGTTATGTCAAGAAAATACATATATTCTTTAGCTGGATAAAAATCACTAAACAAATTATGTAACACAGAATTATCAGATTATAATTAATACAACCCCCATTTTTTGTCAAAGAAAATTCCTACCCAGACTTTATGGTGTTGGAGTTTTATGATAAATTGTTGAGCAAAAATGGCGAGGCTTGGGAAAGTAAACTGAAGGTGAAATACATAAATAATTGGAAAGTGGGGACTGGTGAGCAATTTTCACTACTGAGACCTGCTGTTGATTGTCTAATCAGTGAAGCATTATGTTGATTAAGGCTTTTTAACAAATCTTTTCTTGATTCTGCCATAAGGGAAATTTGATGGGGACTTTTGTNTGCCCACTAGCATGAGGGCCATGATATTCAATTTTAGTATTTCATTTTTTGTCCTAAGTCAATATCTTATACAAATTTTGATAATAGGTTGGGTTAGAAATTTAAATGATAACTAAATTCTATGTAAGGACAAAAAAACGAAAATAAATTTCTCTAACTTGATAGCTTAGTAAAAGTATAATTAACATCCTATGTGGCTGATAATAATGTCTCATGTAAAATATTTGTACTTTCCCTCTATTTGTTTGTAGGATATTGCGAAAATATTTTATTATGTAGGAAGTAGAAATAAATTTCAATCAATCAATTGTATTTAGATGGATGATTTAAGATGGGGAATGAGGAATGTCCAAGGTAGTCTCTAAGTGTGGGGAACAACTATTTGTTATAACATATTGTTATTATGTTGGTAATTAAAAAATTTATATTAATTTTTTTTTTAAAAAAAAAAGGAAAATTTTTGTGCTAAGTTTTATTTTTTTAAATAAAAGTTCATTATTATTTATATTTAAAATGAGCGACGTCCGATGACTCACCCATCCAATATCCTAATATTTTTTAATTTATATAGTATGATGGATTTAACATATACATTTATTAAATTCATGAATAATTTTATTATTTTTTTAATAATATGAGAGGTTATTAACTTTTATTATAAAAATACATATAACTAATGATTCATTATAGAATTTCAAAGTTTGTTAAAATATGATTATTTTGGTAGATCACATATAAAAAGTAAAATACAAATAAAAAGGTTATAAAGTTTAAAAAATAAAAAAAAAATACATATTTATAATAACTAATATATAAATTAAATAAAAAAGTAAGAGTAGTATAT